ACTTTGAAGTTGAGGCAGTGCAATGTGAGGCAATCGAATGCTGAGAAGACACATTGCAGGACCCACTCTAATTTAAGCTACACGTGCAATGTACAGTTATGTTGAGCAACATATTAAACCATTTAGATGAAACACACAGCAAATGCATTTTCATCAGCACGTCTTCAATTGTCTTGTAGGTTTCAACTGTGATGTGCTGCATAAATGTTGAGATAATAGTAGCTATCACCCTTACTCTGATTTTATTTTCCACTTTACTCCATAATAAAGGTGTCCTTGTCCAAAATGGTGTTCTGTATTTGAATGAAACCTCATCTGTTTACCAGTCTGTTTTTTATTTGTTTGTTGACAAATTTGTCTCCAGGACTTCAATGTATGAATTTTTAAACTATAGGATTAAGTGTGTCAGTTTTCTTATGCATATCCAGCTTACCGCACACAAACTGTATCATGCACATTTGTGTGTATTTTGTGCACTAAGAAAAACCTTGCTCAGCAAAAAAAGCAAATATATATATATTTAAAAACACCACGTATGCTCATTCAATACATAAAAACATGCCCATACTATACCATAATACCACATACATGACCATAATATACACTCACACATGGTGGGGTATCTCATGGGGATATCAATATGCAGTGTGTAGGCTTTTGCTGACTAGGCTCATGAAGCATCATGAAGTGGAACACCAACACACTTCTACACACATAGGTACACAAAAAGTAGGACACACCATCTACCTTAAAAAAATTTAGTGTGATCACGTGCTTTTTGCAGGGCAGCTGTTGGGGTAAAACACACACACACACACACACACACACACACACACACACACACACACACACACGGTTAAAATCATTAAAAACAGAGAGGCAAAAAATATGTGTAGCTTCAGCAGCAAACATATTATTCAAATTGTCCAAGAGCCACAGGAGGAGGCCAAGCAGTGGCCATAGTTAAATGGCACAATCAAGAGTATTTTAGGTTTATCTAAGTACACATTTTAAGTGGAAATAAAAAAAATACACATCTGTTGATTTTTACCATAAATGTAAATTTGACAATATACCAACAGGGGGCTGTAGTTATTTTTTGTTGTTGTTGCAGTAAAGCCTAAGAAAAAACAACACTTACTAGTTAAACTTAAGGTCATTTAACAAGTTGGCTTGTGCCGATTGCACAAGCTAGAAGACTTAAAGTCCACAACACTCACCAGTGATTACTGTTAAAGCTCATAAGAGCTGCTTTCACAGACATTAAGAGCCAGTAGCTTTATTAGCTGGCCTTTCCTTCTGTTGGCTGCAGATCAGCTGTTAAATTCTAATAAAACATGAATGCTTGTATTGATCGCTGCTGAGTTGTAGCCTCGTTAAGGGAAACAGAGCATGAAATGTGTGTTTGAGATAATTTAATAAAACACACCACACTATGTGTCCCCGTGCAGTCAGTGTGTTCACCTTTGTGAGATTTTCCTTTCTTATGGGAATATAGATTGTAGGCTCTTATTGAATCTGTTGGATGTATTTCAGTACATAAACAAAACAAAGCTCATGAAGAAAGCTGTGTAGTTGTGCAAGGAAGACTTCAGTTTATATATTTATTTTTACTGTTATGTGATCTTTATTTTGCTTTACAAAAATTAGCTTATTTATCGTTCATTTGTGCCATATTGGAATAGCAAATAAGTCTTTGTGTGCCAATTATTTGGTTATGTACATTTCAAACAGCAGATTAGATACTACTGCAAGAAATGAGACAAGGACTTGTACACACTTTAAGCAGCAGCTTGTTTCTTCTGTCAATGATGTATAGAAACTCATAGGTTGCAATCACTCCAGCACACTATACACACCTTGCAACCATGGTCCCTTTTTCAGTCAGCAGTTTTCTGCTATACTCATTAGAGGGGAGAGGATTTAAGCTCCAGCTCCAATTCTGTACATGGAATTGGTTGGGATTCTGCTGATCCCCAAGGTGAGGGACTAGATCGATCTGAAATAAGGTCCTGAAGAACGGCTTTTCCGTTAGGTGTGAGATTGATCTGAGGTTGTGTGTGTCTTCTGGGGCAGATGATAAATATGAGAAAGCAACGCGGAAGATATTATGAGGAGCTCCATTTCTAAAGGACTGCATTTTTTAAAATAAAGAAACTGCTGTACAAGCCCCTCCTCTGTTCACACAATGTCAAAATGTAAAACGACAAAAATGCTAATTATTTTCCACTTCAATCGTATGTATTATCTTACAATTCGGATACACATTCTATTTTAATTATTCCTTGTTATATACTGCATTGTTAAATTCAAATCAATAAACAACAACAATGGTCTGAATCCTGATCTGTCAGATATCACCCATTACCTCACCAGGAAGCGCTGGCCCTGGTTTGCAAAAGCCATTTTTCTCCAAAAGAATCTTACTGAGCCACTTAAGCCCTTTTTAGACAAGGAGTCCAATAATGGGGTTGGCATAGATGGATTCATCATGTCATGTCTGTCCACTGCATACACACATTTATTCAAACTACAACCATCCAATTGTACCTTTATTAACAACATCCATTACTTACAGTTAAGTCTCAATAGATTCATCAAGCACCAATATTTTTAATGTAAAGCACAAAGCAACTCCAAATACATTTTGAGAACCCTGTAAATGTGTCTAACACATGCTAAATAGTCTTCTGACTAATCTAAGTGCTTTTTACACTGCAGGTAACAACTACCCATTCACACTCATTCACACCTATTAATGGCAGAGGCTGCTGTATAAAGTGGCCATCATTATTAACTAATCTCATTCATACACATTCACTTGTCAAAGCCCATACAGTATTTTACTACTCACTGTGAAGACATCACATTTCATGCCACCAGTGTTTTCTGACACAAACCCGTATCACAACAATCAGCAAAAATCAATTCTTCGTCTTTCCTTCAATTATTTTGCTTTCTTGTACTTCTCTGACAACGCTGTCAAATTTCAAGTGTCAAGAGTGAGGACATTTAGAGTGTTATTGAAATGTAACATAAGAGGTGACAAATTGAAGCTATGGCCTGATTTAGGATAATCATAAAGGGAGTTTCGGGGAGTTTATCCTCTGAGCAACATGAATGTCTGTATAATTTGAAAGGTTGAGATATATCAGTCATGACGAAGGTTGAGGTCTAAACTACTATATTGAAGAAAGTATGGGAATTTGGGAAATAAATATTATTTTCCTTAAACCAAAGTGTCATAAATATATAAATAATGCTGAGCACTTACAGCTGTACATTTTAACTAACATAGCAACAATGTATGTGTCCTTGGTTCTTTGCCTCCCTCATCCAGTTGAGATGTTGAACTTGAAGAAGAAGCACACTCAAAACTGGGAGTTGGCATGACATTTCCATGGCATTTACAATCATATTTTCCCTGCTTGTATTTTCTATGTTTGTAAACACTGTAATTTGTTCAGCTTGTATGTTTAAGGCATCTCCCTACAAAATAGAAAAACACGCAAATATATCATCAAAAACACTACAAAACTACATACTACATACCATACTACAAAAACAAAAGTACATAAGACGATTTCCCCAAATAATAAATTATTTCTTTGATCAAAAACAGTTTACAAACCATGTTTGTTGAATCCAGATTTAGATATGATTCATCTCCTCTATCCAGATAACTTTCAAATTGAAGCACTGCAGTGCTGACATTTACGACATGTGTTAACACAAACACAAACCACACACATTAACACACACACAGAAAGAGAGACTGTTTTGAGACCCCCTGGGCAAAATGCAACACGCACAATCATTCTCATGCGTACAAAAAACTTGTACTGTAATCAAACACAAACAGCTGCATTCATGTCTTCCATCTCCTCCGTGACAGCCTGGTCTATGTTGCTAAAGTTGTCTTCTGATCTTTGCACACCTAAACCCAATCGTGCCCGTCCTTCCCCCTCTTGTTGATTTGACTTAATGCTGCATATGGGTGCTCTATTTTCTTGGCATGAAGGGATTTCTTAGAAAATGCATATTTTTTGTTAGCAAATACTGTAGCTTTTGAATAATATTGTATATATTGATGCACATACAGAAATGAATCATAAAATACACTGAAGGCAGTTCACCAATTGCAGTAGGACTGAATATGGTTTCCTTCGTGAATTTTAATGTTGAGAAAAGAGCTAAAGGGTGGCAAAGTTATAGCAGCAGGAATAATCTTGCTACCACAGCTGAAGGACACAGTTATTTGCCACTTTTGTAGAGGAAATGGTTGAGAAAATGGAGAGAGAGAAAAAAAAGAAGGAATGAAAGACGGACAATTAAAACCAGCTATTGTGTGAGCAATCACATAGGGTGATAGCAGAAAGAAATATTAGGGAGGAAGAGAGGAAGGTATACCTTCAAAGATTGTTGATAGGTTAGAAGACAGAATGAGAGATTGGGCGAGAGAGGTAGAGTGGGAGATAATGAGAGAGACAGTGTGGGAGTGAGAGAGAGAGAGAGAGAGAGAGAGAGAGAGAAAGCAAGCTGTGTGCTACACCACATACCTCTCAGTTCCCTTTAGATGTGCTGATGGTGAAATAGCTGCCCAACAGGAGGAAGGAAAAAAAAGGAGCGGAGATTACAAATATCGTTGTGGGAAAATATTTGTAGAAGTTGAATGGTCGAGAAAAAGAGAGAAACTGGGGTACACTCAAATTAGTACCAGTAATACCGGTAGGAGGGAGCCAAGGAGCACCGGAGAAAGTGAACAAGTGTGACGAGAGATGAAGAAGAAATGACAAGACGGAGAAAAGTGCTGATGGCACAAGTGTGACGGTACACCCCGCCAGGACCTGAGAGTGACTGCCATCCTTTTTTTTCCCTCCTTCCTCCCTGCACTGTCTTTTTTATCCCTTCTCTGACCCTGCCCCCCCCCCCCTTCCTCACCCCTCCTCTCTCGCTCTCACTCTCATGCTACGACTCTCTCTCTCTCTTTCTCTCCTCCTACAGTCAGACCAGGGAGAGCGGAGTGCATGGCTTGCATCTCTGTCTCTGCTTCCCTCTCTGCCATCCGGCTGCTCTCCACTTCGATATTCATTCTGCAGCTTCAAACGCTTTGACAGAATTCCCTGAGCTTGCCATCAGAGGGAGGACACAGAAGAAAAGAAGGCAGTCAGAGAATATTTTGGGGATCCCTCAAAGAACCGAAGAGTCTTGTTTTGTTTTCAGGCTTTTGCTGATTGACTTTTTCTGCAGACTCCTTTTTTGTTTTGTTTTGTTTCACAAGGAAAGACTTGAAATGGAAGACTTGTTTTGAGAGTGGAAAAAAACGTAGCAAAATCCTTTGCAGCTTGTTTCATGTGGAGACAAACTGAGACAGCATTCGAAAGTGAGCAATTCAAGAGTGAAATAATAAATAACCGCAGAAGTAAAGAAACAACGTTACCACAGACTCCGGACACAAGCAGCTGAATCGAGATCATCTTTTTTAAAGACCACTTAGAGAGACTTCAGGCTTCCCCTGCAAGTCTCCTCTTCCATTCCTTCAGTCCCATCTGTACTTTTTCCTCTGGTCTCAGGCTCTGCTGCCTCCACATAAGCTCAGTCATGCAGGTGTCCATCGCCTGCACGGACCACAACCTGAAGAGGGGAAATGGGGACCACAGCAAGCAGAGCGCCACCAGCCCCAACGTGGTGAACCAAGCCAGGGCCAAGTTTCGCACCGTGGCCATCATCGCTCGCAGCTTTGGCTCCTTCACTCCCAGACACATTTCACTGAAGGAGTCAACAGGGAAACACACTGGCATGAAGTACAGGTGTGTGTGTGTGTGTGTGTGTGTGTGTGTGTGTGTGTGTGTGTGTGTGTGTGTGTGTGTGTGTGTGTGTCTCAGAGATAGTAGTGTGTTTGTTTGTGTGTTTGTTTGTGTGTTTAGGTGCAGAGATAAGTGACGCTATAGGGGATGTTCTGTGATGTTTCTTGAAGTACTGCTATTTGTTTGGTATTGTAGTTTTGGCGTGTAGTGCCATGCTATACTCGTGTTTCTGTCTTTATTTCTTTTCTCATCCACTCCACCTCAGCTTCAACAGCTTCATCATTCTTTTATTATGCTGCTCAATTTTTTATCGCAACTGAGTTATTCCAACCATTTGTGAGTTTGAGTGCAGCTTTTCCCTTTGTTCTACAACTTTTACACTTTGAGTGTTAAACTGAATACATATGGTAAAATATCCCACCCAAAGGTGATGGCTTTGCAATAATCTATTGTTGTTAAGTACCTTTTAGAGTGACTTCATGACAATATGAGAAATACAACTAAACTAAATGTTCTTTTGTACATGGAAAAGTTTCGTCTAATCATGAGGCACAACGCGGCTTTGCACACTCATTCAATTTAACATCTATTTGAGTATTTTTATTTAGTTTGAAATATATTGGCAATTCCATATTATACAAACTGTGAAGATGTTTCTGTTAATATCTTGACATCGATTTCATCTTCATTGCATTCCCTTATTCAACTTGGATGAAGAGAAGTGTCCAGATTTAAACAATACTGTATTTCTATTCTAATAGGAAGAGCGCTTAAAAGCTTGATGATAACCTGCTGCTGGGTTGAAAGCCACAAATTCCCTCTTTCTTTCTTGAAATGCCATTTTGTTGCTGTCATATTGTGGAATTTCATAATGCCATTTATGCAAGCCAATGAAGTACCTTGTTCCGAGGCTGCAGAATGCTTTCAGTGAGTTTTGCTTCAATTTTCAATTTTTTTTATCCTCAATCTCCACTGACATGCACTTTATATCATCATATAAAAACATCTCGTTCACTCTGGATGTCACAAGCAATCCTGACTAGTGTTGTAAAAAATGCTCTCTGGTGAGAGTTTACTGACAGCTCTTACAGCTGCTGTGACGTTTCTGTCCATCACTTTGGCCCTTTTCCTTCTTTCTTTTCCCTGCAGCTTATTTTGTGTTCCGTACATTTTCCAACATATGCTGTTGGTTTCAAACAATCCTTAAACCTCTTTAGAGCAATTAACTGCCTAATTCAAAATATACTCCAATGCTGTAATTCTAATGCTTTATAATGCCATGAATGGAAGAAGAGTCTTCTGCATCTCTCCCACACACCCTCTCTCTCCCTCTCCCTCTCTCTCTCCCTCTCCCTCTCTCTCTCTGTGTGCCTTGGTGAGACAGCTCTGCAGTGTGGGCAGAGTGTCTGAGTCGGACTTGACCTCAGCAGTGCTGCTGTTCAACTGACTTGTATGTTTGACTCTCCAGCCCGAGGCTGTGAATTACGTAAAATATGGTACAATTACTTTCTTTTAAAGCTCTGCAGATCACTGTAAAACTAGATCTCTCTCTTTCTCTCTGTATGTGGGTGTGTGTGTGTGTGTGTGTGTGTGTGTGTGTGAGTGTATTTGAAGAACATGTTTTTTGTGTGTGCATAGAGAAGTGGTAGTGACAGATCAGAGTTGAAGGTAAACCAAGGCAGGCAAAAGTATTTAGCACTCCAGTTTGATCATTGTAATTCTTTATAGAAAAAGGTACATTTTTGCACTGAAGCACTGAACACGAGGTTAACCAATAAAAGTCCTGCAGATTTAATGAGGGTGCTTGTTGCTAAAATTATTTCAGTGATGCATAAGCGTTTAGCAACACAAGCAGGGAAATTCATCTTTCATCCCAAATAAAAAGGACAAACTTCCAGCTATATGTATTCTCCTATTTGAAGGCATGTTCACCTAGTTCATAAATTTAACCAGAAAACATTTATTAGACATGAAACAATGCTGCGATATTGCTTGATTTTTCTGACTTTACCGTCAACAACTATTTCAATGTTACTTTCTTTTGCATTAGTAGTAGTGTTTCATTGTTTGATTCAAACAGGGCATGCTTTTTCTCATCTTATTTTGCTACACTTTTTAATGCTAATATTTGACTGTTAATCGGACCAGACTGACATTACATGCTGTCCAGACTCTTGGCGCAGTCTAGACACGTGTAACGTAAGTGGGCTGTGATGCTGCTTGACCAGTAATGAGAGCTGGCAGACAGGTGAACAGCGCACAGGCCCGATGCCACGTCACTCAGCTTTGGAAATACAAGCCCAGAATTGTTGGAGCAGTAGGTAAACATGCCTGCTCCAAAAGTGAAACATACAGACACTCACCTGCAAGGTGACATTGAGAAGACAAACAATAGAGCAACAAAACTAACTCAGCTGTCTGAGCCAAAGGCTTCCAGAAATCTGCTATGTTTGATCTCAAATTTGTCTGAGTTGTTTTGCTATTTATGAAGCTCAAGGAGTCCTCATAACAGAGAGAACCTGCTGATGGCCTTGCTGACCCTTTGCAAATGTTAAGCCCATCAGACGTCTCATCACTTCTTTTTTTTAATGCTCAGGACACCAGCTTCAAGAGGTGGAACTCAGAAGCTTTTTGAATATAAATCCTCCATGGCAAGACAACTGACAAACGTGTGTGTAACTGAGCATGACACCTTCTAAAGGGATTTGATTGTTAAGAGTATTGAACCGGCCTGCCTCATTGTCGGCCATGACGCCAAGAATTCTGACACTGCTAGGAAACCAGTGAGGACAGTTACTAAAAACATGTCATTCATTTGCGTGACATTCAAAGAGTTAAATGTCTGATGAAGTATAAAAACGGAAGAGTTGCTCACTAATTTTGCTTAGTGTTTTTGCTACCGAGGCTTTCTGGGAACTCAATACCAACAAATGCTTGTATCTGTGGGAGCTGTTGACCAGGTGGTTACCAGACGCGAAGAATAATAATGCTCCTACAATGTGTGTTTTAGACTGTTTAATTCAGGACTGGGCACTGCTTTAAACTGCACCCCTCCCCCCTCCAAACACAGACATTTATATTCCAAGTTAGCATCTATAATGTATGTGTTATTGATAGTTATGCTGTGTTTAATATATCATATACTTCAGATCAGGGCTGAACTTTGCATATATGGTGCCAGAGGTAAGGTCCGTCTCCCTTCTCCATTTACTTTGCCTGGATCATTTCCCCCATTATCCCCAAATAAAAAAAAAAAAGAACAATCATTTATAATTTTTGTTCACATTGCCGATTTTGTTGTAAGTTTGTTTAGTCCTGAAACAAATTGAGTTGATTACATTATTGAATCATTAGAAAATGAATGAATAAGTTGGAGCAGTAAATCACCCCCTATAGGATGCCAAACCATTTGCTATTATGGTGTTCCTGTCAGTGTGACATGAACATTCAGTAGGCAGATGATGTTGAAAATGAATTCTGACAACAGATGAGGATGGGCTAGAATTTCTACTCACCGCTCCATAGGAACAATGGAATAAAAGATGATGAGGGAGGAAGAAGGGGATGGAAACTGAAAGAGACAGAGAGAGACGATACCTGTTTGTGTATGTGCTAATCACTCAGTACTGCATTGTTCTGTGCTGACAGTAATGCTTTGGGATGAATGGTATGGCAGTCTCTACCTTCTCCTCTCTCTTTTTCTGTCACTCTCTGTTTCTTTTTGTTTCAGGAAGTGAACCAAGGGTTGTGCACGCCATCTGCTCTAGCGCTGCAGTGTAGGTGACGGCATAACAAGTGAGAGTGTTTTTGCTTCTCTGCTGCGGAGCTGTGTGTGTTTAGTTTCACACAATGTATACAGCATGTTACAGTCAGGGTACTCATTCGAAAAACACATGAGGGGTTTGTCTGCTTGATATTTCTACAAAGAACAGATGTCAGATGTCAAACTGTTAACTGTTTGACATGATAAAGTTATACAAAGAACAACAGAACAACAGAACTTGTGTTTTGGGCTACATCCATGGATCTTTTAAAGGTTTTCTTATGTGCTTTTGTTACAGACTCAGAAAAGAGCCTTGTGGACGTTTTGTTTCAGCTTTACTGTCAGAGTGAAATGCAAAGTGTGGGCACATACATTTTAAGGTTTTCTTATTGACTTCTTACCTGATACCTTTTTGCACTGCCATGATGTTAGTTTGACTGAGTTGGGAATCATTTAAATTTTAATCAGTCAAGCCACAAAAGAGTAGGAGAGTATACGTGAAGGTTGGAATTGTGCATGCATGGAGGGGTGGGGGTGGAGATGCATTGCTGTATAAATACAGTGATGATAACATACTGGATTATGGGGGATTGATGTGCCCACACTTTGCATTTCACTCTGACAGTAGAGCTGAAACAAAAGGTCCACCAGGCTGTTTTCTGAGTCTGTAACAAAAACACATCAAGTCTCCTGTTGTCACTCTGATGTGCTGTGGTGAGGGCTCATTCAATTGTTAATGATTTTCTTTACTTCAAAAACTCGGTAAGCAACATTTGCATCAGTCGATCAGTCAGACAGGTGGAAGGAGACACACTGGTGAGAGTGAGGGAGCAGGAGTAGGTTTATGTCTCTCATGAAAGGATTCAGGCCCCCTGATGTGGTGTGACTACTGTATGCCGTGTGCACTTGTATAGATTGTGCCACCAGGGTGCAATTACCTCAAGCTGTCCCCGTCCCTGCATTGCTGTGTGTTGCAAGAACATGGTCCGAATAAATCAGAGTGCCTAGCTTGGCATCATTTGAAAAGACAAGAGCGGCAGTGATCTGTATGTCGTGTCTTTGTTGGATTTATATTTCTGTGCATGCTGCCTTTCAAAATAAAGATAGAGACCGAGAAAGAATTGGAAGCGAATGAAGCATATCTGAAAGAGAGGAATGATGATAATAGAGGAATGTATAAGCATGAGGTAGGTTTAATTTATAGAACAAAACATTAGGAGTCAGATTTAATAATAAATAT